CTTAAGTTACAGAATCATTCAGATATCTCGCACATATCTCACATATATCTCAGAACACAAGCAGATTCACTTGTAATCTTATGGTAATGGATTTTAAGTTTTTAACCTTAAATCAGAGCTTACTTCTAGCAAATGATAATACATGTACATTGTTGAAGCAACATTTTTCAAACCTGAAATTCACTTTACAATACATCAAATAGAAGTAAGATATTACTGGTATATTTTTAGACTTGGCTAACTTCTACTCTTGAATATTATATTAACGGCACTCAGGATGTAGTTTTGAAAGTTATTTTTCTATTCCCTGTATAATTTACTAGTTCCAGTAATTTAAGGACCTTTATATGACTATGAATTCTTGGTAAAGCTGTACACCTTTTCTGAATTAAATTTCAAGGAAATGCCAGCTGAAACAATATTTTTTGGTTCATTTTCTTTTTCAAAAAAAGCCCACGCAAGATTTTTTAATAAATCTACTCAGTCCAAACCTCTTGGTAAGGTACATGCTGATTTTCTGTTTAATAACATCTGTTAGAACTCTGATCATACCTGATAAATTGAGAATACATGTATCTTGGATAATTATCAGTAGGACGGGTATATTGTAAAGTACATGTAAGTTTACGGTTGCATATGCAGAATGTATTGATTTTTTTGTCATGATTATAGATTTTAAGAAGCTAGTGTATCTAAAGTGATAGGTGAATATTAAAATACTTTTTGTTTAAAGATAGAGCTATAAAAGGTAAACAATTTTAAAATTAACATACACTAGAAGTTTATTCAAAAGTATAATTAGCATGATGAAGATACAGATAACTGGTAAGGTATGTTTTTAGAACCATGGCTCAGAGTCTATTTCTAAATTAATTAAACATGTTATATGATTTATTTCCTCAACCCAAGTCAAGGACAGGCTTTCATTATAGAAAAAAATATTTAAATATTAATATCTGAATAAATTAATTATGATAATTTGTTTATTGTTTTGATACCCTTTGAAGTAAAGCCTATTATTATACAATCATAGCAAATGAAAAGTGTTATTAATCAATGATTCTCTCTTAGACATTTATGATTGAATCTGAATTTCTTAAAATGACAACTGAAGTTATTGATTTTACACAATTCATAATTGTGTCATTTACATGTAAAAGCGCAATATCTTTTATTAACATAATCAATGTTTTTGTCTAAATTGAATATATTTACAAATTAAATTAAGATACATGTAACAGCTGGAAGAGTAATTGACTTTTTAAGGTTGTAATGATTTTTAAGGTTCAAGTTCAAGTTCATTTATTCACTCAACACCATTTTAATACATGGTACATGAGGACAAAGAGAAATATTTACAACATATATATATAATCAGGTCAGAGGTATATAAGTATAAGATATACAAAATCAAGAAATGAAAAGGGAGAAAAGAAAGAAAAAAAAAATATGAAAAAATCACATGTGATACATATAATAATAAAATGAATGAGGGGAACAAATCATGGAGGACAGACTAAGTCATATATTTTTAATATAAACATACAGAGTTTTTTAAGTGACGTTGCATCTTGTTTTGTCATCAGTTGGGAAAATTTAAGAATATTTGGTCTTGTAAAATAGTATTCATTAATATATTTCTTTCTTATATTTGACAGTGCAGAACATTCAAGTATAAAATGGAATTCATCAGCAACATGTTTATCATTACAAAATGTACATAATCTTTCGTTTAATGGTGTGCATGCCCATCTTCCCAGCTCAACTGGTAGACGGTGATTAGTAGTACGGAATTTGACAAGTATTTTTCTGAATTTTAACGGCAAAAAACTTAAATAATTTTCGCCCTCAAATTTTGTTTTAAAAGCTTTATACAAAATACCTTTAGAGGAACTATTAATATCAGAATGCCATTTTTGTATAAATTGGTCCTGTAATCTTTGTTTAACAACAGAAGTAACCCAATCTTGACTAATATTATGATAAAACTGTTCATTCCAAATATGAGATAGTCCACATGAATCAAAAATATGATGAACACAATCAATCCAAGGATTTTTACCAATTTCAGATTGTGAATTAGCAATTAAATATTGATATAATATACATGAAATTTTCTTCTCTGTGCAATTCAATAATTTACACCAGTACGATACTATTCTTGGATATATAATAACAGATAGAGGAAAACGTCCTGTTTCACCATAAACCATATAATTCGGAGTACTACTTTTCAAATACAGAATATGTTTTAAAAATTTTAAGTGTACACGTTCAATAACATCTAAATTTTCAAAACCCCAGATTTCACAACCATACAGTAACACTGGTAAAACCATTTTATCAAACAAATCGAATTGACATTCTATAGGGAGGTTAAATTGTCTTATTTTCCTGATTACACCGTACATTGCTTTTTGGGCTTGGTCACAGAGATGTTTCTTTGCTTTTAAAAAGGAGCCAGATCTTGAAAAAATGATACCAAGATATTTAAATTCTTTAAATTTACAGTTTCTAGACTCTTGTTATTATAGTAAAATACCCTTTTGCTCAAAGGACCTTTTGAAAAAATTAATATTTTGGTCTTCTCAATATTTACTTGTAATTTCCACTCTGAACAGTAGCTTTCAAATTCATTCAAAGCATTTTGTAGATCCTCAGGAGTTTCTGCTAAAATTACAGTATCATCAGCATATAAAAGTATAAGAAGTTTCAAATAAACACATAAATCATTTTCTATTGAAGTTGTAAGGCTTTGTAAGCCGATTATATTCCTATCAACAAGATAATTCTCTAAATCATTAATGTACAAGGAAAATAAAAAAGGAGATAAGTTTTCTCCCTGCCGGACTCCGACATTACAAAAGAAAAAATCGGTTGTTGTACCGTTCATCTTTATAAGTGATTTAATTCCCTTATACATATTTGTAATATACGTGAAGCATTTGCCTTTAATTCCATAATTTAAAAGTTTACTCCAGAGACCGTTTCTCCAAACAGTATCAAACGCTTGCTTAAAATCTATAAACGCACAAAAAAGTTTTTTCTTACACTTCATCAGTGTGTTTGATAATAAATGTAAAGTCAAAATATGGTCTAAAGTAGAATATTCCTTCCTAAAACCTGCTTGATTCTCTTGAATTAGTTTAATCTCATCTGCGTACAGTTCTAGTCGCTTGCTTAGTATACATGTGAAAAGTTTACCTAAGCAGCTCAGTAAAGTAATAGGACGGTAATTTTCTGGGGTGGTCGGATCTCCCTTATTTTTGTAAATAGGTTTAACAATACCCACTAACCACTCATCTGGAACCAGTCCACTATCGAAAATAATGTTAAAAAACATCTTGTACACAGGTAAAAAGGTATACAATGTTGATGAAATATGCTCATTTACAATGCAATCAATACCAGATGCTTTTCCATTTTTTAATTTATTTACTGCTTCTATAATTTCACTTTCACTAATTTCACCATTAAGTATATCATTAGAAGATTCACCCGATTCTGGTTCTCTATCAGACAGATCAAAAGCATCATCATCAGCTACATTGTTACATTCATTAATACTTTTCAAATATTTAAATACCTCTCCAATATTTACTGCACTCTTTGACTCTTTATTGGTAGAATTTAATATTTTCCAGTAAGCTTTAGTATTTGTAGTACGTAATTGCATGAGTTTACGAGTAAGGTCAGCTTTATATTTTCTAATACTGTTATCCATCACTTTTTTATAACTTCTACTCGTTTCTCTAAGATTTTGTTTGTTTTCTTCTGATTTACATAAGTTATGCATTCTTTTAGCCAAGTGAAATTTTCTTCTAGCTGTTTTGCATTCTCTATTAAACCAAGGTTTGTTTCGTTCTTTATCCTTTGAATATTGACCCGTTGAATAGATTCCAAAAGATTCTTTGGCTGACTTAGTAAAAATATTACAAATATCTTTTGCTACCTTATTAATGTCAGTACTTGAAACATCATCATTATTCATTTCGATAAGGTTACGCTCAATTGATTTCACTGCTGAAATATCTATATTATTACAAAACTCGGCTTTTCTTTCGGGGCGCCATAATTTTACACCTGGTTGATTTTCACACGTGGAGCTATTTTTAGACATTTAACAGGTGGACAAAGAAAAAGACAATGGATTATGTACATCTGAGAAAAGATTAGAGAACTCGTGTACTTCAAAATGTTGTAAAAGTTCAAAAATTTGTACACTGTCAATAACATAGTCCACAGTACTGACAGGCAGTTATGATGGATAAGCTTTAATTAACTGTGGATTAAACAATGTGTATACATATATGTACTATTATTTAATTAGCATCCTACTTTGTCAACCAGGTATTGAAAAATATCCAAGTTCTCGAGGGCCAAAGTTACCCACGTGAGCGTTGTGGCCCATGGGCCTCTTGTTTTTTAAACTGCAGTAGACTACCGGTATCTTTTTTGAATTTTAAATCATAAGTTCAGAATGAATTTGATTAATAATTTTCTTAACTGGAGTTAATTCAGCTGTTAATTTCAGGAATGATGAATTATAAGGTTGAAAATGGTGACACATATTGACATATTTCCAAGGTTTTGATAAATGACATCGAAACATTTATACATGTTATATGAAACCCATGTTTATGTTTCTATAAAAAGGTATTTACCTTGTTTTTATCTGGTTTTGTTTTACTGTTAGAATAAACAGACAAATACAGGTATGTTTCCATTTTTGTACTTCCAGGGCCATGCTGAACATCTTAGGACCTTGACAGCACCAACAAAGCAAGTAAAATCTAAAAATCCTTCGACAATGGTGAACCGATCCCTAGAAGAGGGGAGTCAGTATGAGTACATTAAGTGTGTGGTGGTGGGGGACGCGGGGGTGGGGAAGACCTGCCTGATCTGTGCCTGGGCCTGCGGGACAAATTACACCCTGGAGCGACTCGTAAGGACCCCCTCCTCCTCAGTGTGGGCCATCGACCACTACCGCAATGACCAAGAGGTAGGGTACTAGGGTATACATATTTAATATACTTCTATGTCATTTCTAGAATGGTTGTCTGTGTATGTCTGCAGATGTAATTTTGTAAAAAGATTTGCACAAAAGGTGTAAGTAAATGGAGAGAAAATTATGTATTGCTGCTAAAGCAGACTTTCAACATGTTCAAATTGTTAAAAACATTTTACCAGAGTTAACAAATTAAAGGGTAATGAAGGGAGAATAAAATCTGTAGACTTTTTAATCATGCAAACCAAAAGTTTAAGGAGGATTCAGTTTTGAAAGTTTCAGAGTGCTGAGATTGCTAAAATTAAATATCACAATTTTTTTCTGCATTAGAGGTTACTATTATCTTGTTATGTGCCTTAAAATCATTAATTAAATTGGATCTTACTAAAATTTAATACAATTTTTAAGCAAAAATCACTACATATTATTTACATGTTGGTAAAATTCCACTTATAATACAGTTTACAAATTTATAATACTTCTTAAGAATCTACTTCTTGTTTATTGACAAAATTCTCCGAAATATGCCTGCATGATTTCTTAGAAAACATTTTGTGGTTTATTCAGGTGATGGACAGGTCTTGGTGCAATGTAGATGGAGTCAGGTGTTCTCTGAAACTATGGGACACTTTTGGTTACCATGACAAGAACAGAAAGTTTGCTTATAGAGGGTAAGTTACATAATGCTGCAGAGAGACTCTATACATCACTGCTAACAAATTTAGGATTTATGTATGCTAATGCAGCAATGAGACTACTGAGTATCACAAATACTGTGCAGAAATATTGATCAGTAAAAGCATTTTCTATTATTTAATTTTGAAGATTTAATTTCCTCCTTGAAAGGGAAATTAATCAGGGATTTATTGAATTGACAGTCAATTATCTTTTATTTTGATATGTATATCCTGCCAGATGTTTCTTCCTTGTTAATTTAATTACAATTTTAATTGCATCCTTTTTGGAACCTAATTATGTTCCCCAAACGAAGTTGGGGAACATATTGTTTTTACTCTGTTTCTTATTATTAAGGTCTTCCGTTTCAGACGGAAGACCTTATAGTGATTCTACTGTTTTTTCTTTTTATTATTATTATTTTTTTCCCTTTTTGTTTTGACGATTTCTCAGAGATGACTGGACGGATTCTCATGAAATTTTCAGAGATGATAGAAAATCAAAATATCTTTCAAATGCAGTTTTTTGTTTTTTAAAATTCACTTCCGGTCGTCAGATATGTCCGATTTTCGCTTTTTTCAAAAATTTTTTGTCCCAGTCATATCTCAGAAACGGTAAGATATTAAGACACCAAACTTATATGAGTAATAGATCTTAATAAGTAGGCAAAACCATTTGGGTTAACACAGTTCGCCGTCACTTCCGGTCGTCACAGGAAGTGATCAAAGAAATCGAAAATTTCAACTTTTGTTTTTTGAAACTTTTTTTGCAGCACAAAATAGTATTTAATTTGTAGTTTCGAAATATGTCAGTCCCACCGGAAACAAAAACGACGACTTCCGGTTATAAGAGAAAAACTACAAAATTTGAGTATTTTTCTTTCCCATAAATATTTTTTATAGATAAAGTATTTTTAATGATTTTTGGATATGTTATTCAGACTGCAAATGTCTACAGTAACGTCAAATATCTTTGTAAAATTCACTTCCGGTCGCGTGATTTCCTGTCCTCAAAATGAGAACTTACCATAGCTAGATCTCGTAAACGGAAAAAGATTAAGACACCAAACTTATACAATTGGTAGATCTTGATGAGTAGGCAACTTCAGTTTGGATAAGATTGTCCGCCGTCACTTCCGGTCGTCACAGGAAGTGTTCCAAAAAATCAAAATTTTCAAATTTTCTTTTATGAAACTTTTTTGGCATGTCGTTATAATATCTTATTTGTAGTTTTAAAATATATCCGTCCAACCGGAAACAAAAACGTCAACTTCCGGTTTTAAGAGAAAACTGCATAATTTTAGTATTTTTCTTTCCCCTAAATATTTCTTATACATGACATAATTGTAACGGTTTTTGGATATGTAATTCACACTGCAAATGTCTACAGGAAGGTCAATATCTTTGTTAAATTCACTTCCGGTCGCGTGATTTTCTGTCCTCAAATTGAGAAGTTATCATAGCTAGATCTCGTAAACGATAAGAGATTAAGACACCAAACTGTTTCAAGTGGTAGATCTTGATGAGTAGGCAGAACCAGTTGGGATAACATTGTCCGTCGTCACTTCCGGTTGTCACAGGAAGTTATCAAAGAAATCGATAAATTCAACTTTTCTTTATAGAAACTTGTTTCATCACATTATAGCATCTTATTTGTAGTTTTGAAATATGATAGTATCACCGGAAACAAAATCGACAACTTCCGGTTATAAGAGAAAAAACTACAAACCCGGAAATTTGAGTATTTTTCTTTTCCATAAATACTTTTTATAGTTAAAGTATTTGTAATGATTTTTGGATATGTTAGTCAGACTGCAAATGTCTACAGTAATGTCGGATATCTCAGTAAAATTCACTTCCGGTCGCGTGACTTCCTGTTCTCAAAATCAGAAGTTATCATTGCCAGATCTCGTTAACGGTAAGAGATTAAGACACCAATCTACTAGGGGTGGTAGACCTTGATGAGTAGACAATTCCTTTAAGTTTAAGATCATCCACCGTCACTTCCGGTTGTCACAGGAAGTGATCAAATAAATCAAAAATTTAAACTTTTCTTTATGGAATCTTTCTTAGTATTACCTTATAGCTTCTTATTAGTTGTTTCAAAATATGTCAGTTCCATTGGAAACAAAAACGACGACTTCCGGTTATGAGAGAAAAACTGCATAAATTGAGTTTCTTACTATACCATAAATATCTTTAATAAAAAGAGTATCTGAAATGATTTTGGGACATGTTATTCAGACTGAAAATGTCTAGAGAAACCTCAAAATGAGACCTTTGACCCTTACTCAAAAAGTAATAAAGAAATATTCATTACCTTTTTCTAGATTCAGCTTCAAGTGTTTATCTCAAGTTTACCTTTCTCTCTCTCTCTCTCTCTCTCTCTCTCTCTCTCTCTCTCTCTCTCTCTGATGACCTTGACCTTTGACCTTGATAAATGACTTTGTTCTTTGGCCCCATTGACCCAAAGGTCACAATCAAGCTTACGGTCGTGGAGGTATTTGCAACTCTTACTCTAACAAATGCTTATAAAATATCCCCTCCTTTCTCTAAAAACAAAACAAAACAATCAATACCAACTTAGAGAAAATGTCTACAAGTCAAACGAAACGAAATATCGGCATAAGATTCGTAATTAAAGAAAGAAGAGACCTGAAAGAAAGTGTCCTGAGAGTTTTAAGGTGAGTCTCTGAAGTATTTTGAAATTCTAGTGAATATCGGCAAAATCTGCATTTTTTTCTGTCTGAAATTAAGTTATTGCTTAGCATAAAAATTAATTAAAACTCGTATTGGATAATTCTGCAATTATTGTTAATATCATTCGATTCTCCTGCTCCATTACAACATTTTAATTCCAAGTATTCTTGTTTTCTTAGGTGTATGGAATTTATTTTAATTTTATTTAGATTTAAGTATGAATCGGCTGAAACTCGGAAATGACGATTTTTCATATCAATTAAATTTCCACGCAATTGAGATAGGTCAATTGCAGTTCCCCAATTGATACGATATGGTGTTGAAAAAATGTCCATGACTCACTCACTGTTTTTCCGGGATTTTGAATTTACTCTGCAACTGACCACGTGTATTAGTTTCGCTTTACAACTCTGTATATGCTAAATGTCATTGCTTCACTGCAAATGTGTCCCATAATTATTCTAATCATTTTCCTACATACAATATCGCATCAAACGGCCAATATCTCAGTTTTTAAAGAAATTTGACCGGGATTTTACTACGAAACTTTTTCTTTCACTTCGAAACTATTTCCTTCAACCTTAAAGTACTAAGCTTACAAAATACCTGAAATGTTGTGGAAGTTGGTGGCTCAGTGGTTAGCGTGTCCAACTTTCATACGAATGGTTTTGGGATCAAGACCAGATGGAGGAATTGATTTTTTTTTTTTTTTTTTTTGCATTTTGTTTGTTTGTTTTTTTTTTTTTTTGTTTGTTTTTTTTTTAAATACAAAAATATTCTTCTTACTGATAAAAGAGGAGAACGGAAGACCTTATTTGTTGCTGTAGCAACAAGAGTTTCTAGTTAGGGTCTTCCGAGCTTCCTTCGGAAGACCCTACTGTTATTCTACTGTTTCTTATTATTATTTGCTTTTTTTTTTCCCGCCGGATTTTTGACAGGCGATTTCTCAAAGACCATTCGACTGATTTTTATGAAACTTTCAGGTTAGATACCTTGTATTAACACCTATTTACATCTGCTTTCAATTTTTTGATACATGCCTTACTTTGTGAGTTATTGCCCTTTAATTGATAATTTTGATGTCTCGTGTCCACTAATAAACTCAAAAACGACATATGATAATTACATGAAAGTTTGAGAACTTGTAGCCAATACATTGTAGATGTGCATATCGATAAAATTATAAGCTGATTTCTTAAAGATCGGAAGCTATGTAACGGCAATTTTTAGTATTTTTTTTCCATGAAATTTTGCTTCTTTTTGTGTAATAACTTTTGAACCGAGAATAATTTGGTAAGAAATATGTCACAAAAGTTGTGCATAATTACGAGAGCTTTCATATAAGATCAAGGAAAAGGGGCTGGCCCCTATAATTAGGGGTTAATAGCTCATACAAGTTTTTTTCTGATAGCCAAAAAATTGGTATATTATGAAAAAGTTTGACTGAAATAGTTTCGAACTGATTAAATCTTGTCGTTTGATAAAAAGAGAAATAAGCTTCAAGCTATATTTAATAGTTTTTTTATAAAACAAATATGTGAGAAACGTTACAGGAACAAGTTGTCTACTATAAGCCAAGCCTTGACTGGGCCTCTTGCATAGTTTTCGTTGATGCATATGAAAGATATTGTTTTGATTCGGTGTTTCTCTGTTTTCTTTTTATTCAAATAATTAATATAATGTGATGATGTACATGGCAATAAGTAAAATCAAAATATTTATGCATTAGTTAAGAGGAAGTCTTTTCGGGGCCTCTTGTTTGTAAACAACGCGCGGCATTGTGGGAAATGGGAAGGTACTAAAGACCTGATATACTAAAAACCTTATTTGACCTGATTCAAAATCGTCAGTAAATATTCCAAACAAACGAATTTTTGTATAGCATTATGCATCATAGTCATAAAGTATTTAAATGAGTCATTTGAAGTACTCAATATTGTCATTTAATCTAAAATAAAAACATCAGGTAAATATCAGGTCTTTCGTATATCC